AAAGATGATCCTGTCGTGGTCGCAGGAGTAGGAGGGGAATTTGCTGTTGGCCCTGCTGATGGACTCCTCGGGCGGGTGGTCGTAGATCTCAACAGTGGAATTTCTAGTGTGTCTTCACCAACACCATTGAGCAAAACTGTCGTGTTCATGTCGGGAGGCTCCGCAGGGGAATGCGGCACCCGGGCGTCTTGGTACAATTCTTCCGAACGAATTCCATGTAGATCTGCGAGGTCTTGGCGTTCGTAACTCTTCGTCTCAAGTCGCTTTCCGTCGATCATACACTCCAACGGAATTGCAATAAATGGCAAATTTTCATAGACGAACTTGACAGTCTCCGAGACCTCATCGCCGCCGCCACCACCACCGTTATCATCGCGAGATTCTTTTTCTTCACTACCGAGATGAGATCCACCCTAAATGATGACGAGCTCGACACTGATAGGGAAAGATGGAAGTCCACAACTCTACCATGGCTGCCTCCTTCTTCCTCTGTTCCATGAACTTAGAGGTATGCCCGAGATGCTCAACATACTTGACATGCTTCCCTCGAGCATTCGCTATAGCCCTGATGGATGATGAGAATGGTGAAGGGCTTAGGTGATGGGCCTGGATGGTTGGCCTCACGCGACGGTATCCCACAAGGGCTCGTTCTTCTCGAATACGACCATGGCAACGAGTTCACTGTCCTCTTTCCAGCGTATCTTAGGTGAGCTCTCGGTAGACGCAGAAACGTTCAAGGTGCTTTCGGGCTTCTCCTCCTCTCCGTCGTCTTCGAAGTCCTCCGACCCGGGTAGGGCCATCAGCCTGAAAAACACCCCCACTGCGCATTGAACCCGGATCGTTATAATACCAGCAGAGAACTCTACCACTCAACCAAACCTACGACAAATTCCCTTGGTCTTTAGCCTTGGGAGTCGACTTCCCGCTCTCTCCCCCAGTCATCTCCTCCACCATCAAGTCCATCAAACAATCCAAATCGGCGTCGTCTCCCCCTGAAGACCCATCGTCCGATCATTGAAGTATATAATCGTCCGAGGGATTTATTCACCCTTGTTGATTTCATCTCGACCTTTACACTCGACCTCGCGACTCAACGATTTCCCAGCGGCCACAGTCGATCTCCCAGGAATGGATGTCGGACTGAGCGGAGCGAAGCACTTCATGAATGTCATTTTTATACATCCTCACTTTGATAGAGCCCTGGACGGCGAAGCCCTGAACAGCAAGGCGGCACCTTCACGCGCCACGAAATTCCGTCCAACTCACGTGTCTGCACTAGGCGGCCGATCGCCCACCGAG